AATGATGTCGCGCTGGTTAATGATGTCAGTCACGCTGGTTAATGATGTCGCGCTGGGATGTCGCGCTGGTTAATGATGTCGCGCTGGTTAATGATGTCAGTCACGCTGGTTAATGATGTCGCGCTGGTTAATGATGTCAGTCACGCTGGTTAATGATGTCACGCTGGTTAATGATGTCGCGCTGGTTAATGATGTCACACTGGTTAATGATGTCAGTCACGCTGGTTAATGATGTCGCGCTGGTTAATGATGTCGCGCTGGTTAATGATGTCGCGCTGGTTAATGATGTCCGTCACGCTGGTTAATCATGTCGCGCTGGTTAATGATGTCAGTCACGCTGGTTAATGATGTCACGCTGGTTAATGATGTCGCGCTGGTTAATGATGTCACACTGGTTAATGATGTCAGTCACGCTGGTTAATGATGTCAGTCACGCTGGTTAATGATGTCGCGCTGGTTAATGATGTCAGTCACGCTGGTTAATGATGTCGCGCTGGTTAATGATGTCGCGCTGGTTAATGATGTCGCGCTGGTTAATGATGTCAGTCACGCTGGTTAATGATGTCGCGCTGGTTAATGATGTCAGTCACGCTGGTTAATGATGTCACGCTGGTTAATGATGTCGCGCTGGTTAATGATGTCACACTGGTTAATGATGTCAGTCACGCTGGTTAATGATGTCGCGCTGGTTAATGATGTCGCGCTGGTTAATGATGTCGCGCTGGTTAATGATGTCCGTCACGCTGGTTAATCATGTCGCGCTGGTTAATGATGTCTGTCACGCTGGTTAATGATGTCGCGCTGGTTAATGATGTCACACTGGTTAATGATGTCAGTCACGCTGGTTAATGATGTCACGCTGGTTAATGATGTCGCGCTGGTTAATGATGTCACACTGGTTAATGATGTCAGTCACGCTGGTTAATGATGTCGCACTGGTTAATGATGTCAGTCACGCTGGTTAATGATGTCGCGCTGGTTAATGATGTCAGTCACGCTGGTTAATGATGTCGCGCTGGTTAATGATGTCGCGCTGGTTAATGATGTCGCGCTGGTTAATGATGTCGTGCTGGTTAATGATGTCGCGCTGGTTAATGATGTCGCGCTGGTTAATGATGTCACACTGGTTAATGATGTCAGTCACGCTGGTTAATGATGTCGCGCTGGTTAATGATGTCGCGCTGGTTAATCATGTCAGTCACGCTGGTTAATGATGTCACGCTGGTTAATGATGTCACACTGGTTAATGATGTCAGTCACGCTGGTTAATGATGTCACGCTGGTTAATGATGTCAGTCACGCTAGTTAATGATGTCACGCTGGTTAATGATGTCAGTCACGCTGGTTAATGATGTCGCACTGGTTAATGATGTCGCGCTGGTTAATGATGTCAGTCACGCTGGTTAATGATGTCGCGCTGGTCAATGATGTCAGTCACGCTGGTTAATGATGTCGCGCTGGTTAATGATGTCAGTCACGCTGGTTAATGATGTCGCGCTGGTTAATGATGTCGCGCTGGTTAATGATGTCGCGCTGGTTAATGATGTGACGCTGGTTAATGATGTCGCACTGGTTAATGATGTCA